AGCTGGGGAAGGTGATGACAGAAGCAGCCAACTCCAAACTGTAGTGTTGAGGTTGGCATTTCCTTGGCAGAGCTAATCCGGTGCCCCTCCCGGGAGTGTGGAGTGTGTGCGTTTCATGGGCGAGCAGCTGTCATGACCTTGACTGTCACTCAGCAAGCTGCCTCCTGTGCAGATCTGCACTGGAACGGCTCAAGACGGGAGGGGTGGGGGTCCTCTTATCCAGCGAGACCGTCATTGGATAGCAACAGCGGTTAGTATTTTCAACGTGAAGAGGTTCTCTCATCAAATCCTCACTCCCTGGTTATGGTTCTGTTCCCCCACGCAGAAGTCCTTCCCAGCACCTTAGCCCTACCCCATAACTGCTCCATGAACTCAGGACTCAGAGCTGGGGAACTGGGGGCACAAGCTGTGTGCAGTTGGATAAATCTTGGCATAGCAGAGACATTGACTGTCTTTCAGTGAAAAGCATCATTGTTTCATTCTCTGAATAAATTAATTGTACGGTTCTCATGACCTCTGTGTTTGCAGCGTGACAGCGCCCTGTTAGTCCCAGCCTGGTCCCCTTCTGTTCACTATCACCTTTGATAAAGTCCAGGGAATGAAGGGCAAGTTAAAATAACCCATATGGATCTGTGCAGTTCTTTAATTCCTGCTTTATTCTAATAGCTTTCATGATCTGACATTTTATGATTCTGCCTGAGAGAACAGACATGTGTTCTGAATTCTTTTATTTGCATTGACAAAATAACTGGGCAATCAAAAATTTTGGTTAAACATACGGATATGTGTGATACAACCAGCAGTCTTTAAAAGAAGTAACATTTATTTTTAGGTCCAGTTGTTCCTTAATGCTAATCTGATTATCAGCATTTTCGTCTAATGTAACTAACATCTCTGTCCGGGGTTCAGATTGCTGTAACAAAAAGTAGCACAGACCTGCTGCCTTAAACAATGGAAATGTATCCTTCACTGTTCTTCCAGCAGGGAGGTCCAAGATCAAAGTATCCATTGATTTGGTCCTTCGCCAGGGCCTTTTCCTTGGCTTTTGGAAAGATGTCTTCTCCATATCTCTATACTTGGCAGAAAGAAATCTCTCTCCTATCTCTTGTGTCAAGGGCACTAATCCCATTGATGAGGGCTTCACCCTCATGACTCACTACCAAGGGTCCCGCCTCCAAGTACCAACACATCAGGGAATAGGACATCAGTGTGTGGTGGGGGCAGGGACACAAACACACGGTCCATAGCATGCTACCCTCCCATGGGCTGCACACTGGCTCTGTCTACACAGTCTTTGTGTTTTGGATAAACTGGGGGACTTAAAGCATCATTAATTGGTAAGACTGATCCTGACCTTCTGCAGAGCATCTATTTCCTTCTGACCACAGTGGCCTGTGTGTGCACTGCCTCCACCAGAGCAGAGGGAACACAGCCAGGGAGATTTACAGTGCTTAAGAACCCACGTTACAATTGTCCTCAGCTCTTCTTCGGGGAAACCTCCTGCGAGGTCCAGCGTGTCTCCCCCACCCACTCCAACTCCAGTTGGTTCTCACACCCCCACACACGCAGACAGCAGCAGGGAGAGATGCCAGGAACATGGTTCCTTTGTTTAATTCAGCAAAGACTGGGGGGGAAGCTGGAGGGATGAGTGCTCTGTAGGTGGGGCTGGGGGAGCAGCGTAATGAACATCAGCGGTGACATCCAGGGGGCTGGGACGGGTCGGGCGTAGTGGCAACTTAGTACAGTTTAGAGATGTGGAAGCGTGTGGGAGGACCTGGATATCATAAATAGGCTTTTCTACTGTCATGAACAGCTAGGCCTGTTTGTGCCAGCTCTAATGTCCAGCACACAAAGAAAGACACCCAGTTTAAACCAGTACCGTCGGGGCTGGGGATGTGGCTCAGTGGTAGAACTCTTGCCTTGCATGCATAAGGCCCTCGGTTTGACCTTCAACCCCACGAAAACAAGCAAATGGACCAGGACCTGTGGAATTAATGGTTAGGTTGTAGACTCCCCATGTCTGCTGGCTGGGGACATAGCTCAGCAGCATAAGCACTTGCCTGGCAAGTGTAAGGTCCTGAGTTCGAATTCCCAGTATGAAAAAAATAGACGTGTCTGCCGTAACCTCAGGTCCTTAACAACTCAGTTATCTGCAGCTCTCCCAGCTAAGCTAGATGTTCTCGAGAACAGGATCTGTGTCTTTTCCAAGTTGTCCCCAAGGGAAAGGAATGAAGTTAGACAACTACACTCATGTTAAAGAGATCTTCTCCAGATGCACAGGGCAGGGAATGTGAGGAGTAGCCGTGCTCCAGGCAACCAGTACAGGCCGGAGCATTCCAAGGCTTTGGTCACCTGAAAGGCTAAGGCTCCACAGGCGGTCCTGATGGCGGCAGGTCATACAGCTCCACCAGCACTGGATCCAACCAGGCCCCACAGCTGGGCCTGGTTTATAGTGAAGCGCCGACCTGGGGCCTCAGTCACCCTGCTCCCCCACTTCAGCATGGCTCAGTACTCAAGTGTAGATGCTCATGTCCATCTGCTGCCGTAACAAAATACCACAGAGTGTGTCTCAAACTGTGTATTTCCTCAGTTTTGAAGACTGGAACTGTAAGGGTCAGTTCTGTGAGGTCCCCCTCTTGGCTTGTAAAAGGCTGTCTTCTCAATGTGACCTTTCTTCTGTTCGTGAAAGACAGAAGGGACCCTAATTCCATCAGATCAGGGCCCCACCCCTATGACCTCATTTAACCTAAACTTTTTCCCTTAAAGGCTGTTTCTCCAAGTACAGGCAGCCACACTGGGAGTTAGTTAGGGCTTCAGCACAGGAATGTGAGGGTGGGGATGTGACAGTCCCTAACCACTCTAAAGACAAACTGGCTTTCAATCTCTGCTCTTACAAACCAAGTCTATGAGGTTGGGGAAGTTTCCTTGGCTTTTCTAAAGCCTCAGCTTCTTGATTAAAAACAGAGGTAAACTTGATACCTACCTGGAACATCGTAAGGACAAAGTAAGCTAACACACGTGCTGGGTTTAGTGGGGGGCCTTGTGTGTAGCAGGCATGCAGTAGCCGGTAGTTGACAGTACTCACAGGGTCCCCTCTGTTCTGAGAGCGGGTGCCCTCTAGAGTGGTGGCCGCAGCGCTGTGCAGCCTGAATTCCAATACCGGGAGCTGTTTCCCACACCAGGGAGGCTCCACGACTCTTGTGTTCTTCGTAGGAGCCAACCTTCTTCTGAGCCAGGTTAGCTCCGCGAGATTTCCAGCGGGAAGGTAGGAAAAGCCAGGGTGAGAGGTGGTAGCAGCCCCAGGGTTCCAGAGCAGGGCAGAAAGTACACTGTGACTTCCTCCCAGAGAGGAATTGGGTACCCGCCAGCTGGACCCCAGCGAAGGTCACATTGGATTCTTTCTGGCCTCTTGTTGCTTTAAAGAAAAAGAAAATTAAAAAGCAACTTCTGCAAGGTCCTCTTTGAATGAGACTAACACTGGTCCCTTTTCCCTGCTTTGGAACCCTGCTGTGGAGCTGAAATGTAGGTGTGGGCACGAGGTGGTAACTCACGGAGGGCCATCGCTCTCCTGTTGAGACAATGCCCTTGACTCTTGGTGCCAGCAGCACAGCTGAGACAGGGATCCCCCCCCCCACAAACCGTTACTATACCCACTTTGCAAATCCCTACCCTGTAGGCATGTGCTGTGAGCTGGAAGCAAGCCAGCACTGTCACGGTGCAGATATGACTGTCACAGTGTTCCAACATCCGGCTGCCTATTTTTCTTTTACCCACGCTGCTTTAAAAGGTGCGGATTATGTGCTTGTGCAGAGGAGTAGGCATGCGTCTTCTCTGAGCAAGCCCTGCCACCCCATCACTCCCCTCTTGTTACTCCCACAGAGAGCTTGGGACCTCACCTTGCAGAGTCACGCCAGGACTTGCCTTTGTGGGCAGGGGTGGTGCAGGGGAGACAAAGACCCGAGTAGCTGTGTTTATCAGCTGAGAACCAAACATTTCCAGATTATTGCTTATGAAATCAAAACTCTAGTGTCCAGTCTGTGGAACACAAGGTCCCCTGAAACATGTACAGCTTCAGACAGGGGACCTGTGGCTGCCCCCCTGCATCCCCAGAGGTCCGCATGACACCCTGCAGGCAGCAGATGCTCCCCGAGCACAGTTGTCAGCCCCAGCCACCTATCTCGTCTCCCTGCACTCCCGGCCAGAAGCACCTGGCTGGTGAGGCTCCAAGTGCACAGAGAGCTCTCTGGACACCAAGCATCCTTGCCCTTCAAACTGGCCAGCTGCTCAAACCAACAGGCCAAGCTTTCCACACACCCCCTTTCAAGAGGTTCCTTCTGCAGATCCGGGAAACTTTGCCTCCCAGGACCCGCCCTTTCCAGTTAAATGATGGAGAGGAGGGAGATATTTTTTGCTTCCTCTGCTCTGTCACAGTAACCTGCTACATTAGAAAAGCTGAGCTTTCCTTTGGTCACAGTTATCAAATATGCCAGAAACAAATACGGGATAAGTCTGCTACTCGGTGTTTTAAACCATTCGGTTTCGAGAGCACAACAGGTAGATGAGGCTACCCACGTGTTACGCACTAGCTTTGAGGGTCCTCTACTGGATGCCGGGATGAGGGAGGGGCTGGGGACATAGTGACATATAAGATTCTGCTTTGAGGTAGGGACAGAATCCAGTAGGAAAGACCCAGTCCTACTAAGACCCAGAGAATGAGGAAAGTTTCTTGGAAAAGGGAACTCCTGAGGGGCTGGGGGTGCGACCCTGTGGCCATGCAGAATGCTTCTGTGAGCGTCAGCTTTCCCTTACTGCCACCATGTCATCCCTTACTGCCACTATGTCATGATTCCTGTAAGTCCCACGGTGAGGCCGGCAGTCACAGGACCAGGTTCTTCCCCCTCCCTGTGCTCACTCTGAGCTCGGAGTTTGGCTCTAACAGCATGGGCCTTGGTGACCACCGAAGGAATTTGCCCTTGACCGGTCCCCTCCTCCCTTCCCAGGAATATGCTTGCCAATTCAGCCAGCGTGCGGATTCTGATCAAGGGAGGCAAGGTGGTGAATGATGACTGCACCCACGAAGCCGACGTCTACATCGAGAATGGCATCATCCAGCAGGTGGGCCGCGAGCTCATGATCCCTGGGGGAGCCAAGGTCATCGATGCCACCGGGAAGCTGGTGATCCCCGGAGGCATTGACACGAGCACGCACTTCCACCAGACCTTCATGAATGCCACCTGCGTGGACGACTTCTACCACGGGACCAAGGTAATGCTCCCGTTTGGCTTCTGGGCTTCTTTATTCTGTTTCTGGGTTTGCTTCAGATGAGACCCCCATGAACAGGGAATCTCTAGAGTGCGCTGTGGCTACTGGAATAGCGATTTCCAGCTGAATGTCAGAGGCCACTTTGAGGAAGACATTTAAGCCTGTGTTGCTGGTCATATCACTGACGCATATACTCAGGCCAGGAACCGATTTTATTTTTTGTATTTGTATCTCATGTAATATGGACTTTGAAGAAAAAGACCTGCTGGTGTTTGTGAAGGGGGATAGGCTGGTTTGGTGGATTCATTTATGCATGATAAAGTAAATTAAATCCCCAAAGTCTGTGATAGATTATACAGTCACCTTTATAACCTAACTGATTTTAATGGTAGAGATGGCAAAAGCTGTTTTTATTGTCTCTTCTACCTTGTTTGTTATTTTTTTTAAATAGCTTGAAAAGTACTGATGGGTTCTCTTTTTGGTATTAGCTATCACGGATAATATTTGACATTTACTGAGCTGGCCCTGATTATTGTATTTTCCTGAATGCAAAATACAAAACTTCAGACTTGGGAAACATGAATCAGGGGAGAACTGTATTTTGCAAAAAGAGCCAGCACTGAGTTCTTGCACTGTTCTCTGTGCTCCAGACTCCTCTGTCACTGCTGTCATTTCCCTCCATTGTCACGATCTGTCACATGCCAGCCTTTCCCTGAACATCCGCCCCTGAGCCGTGGCAGGCAAGACCTGCATGTTCCTCTGCTTTCCCAGAGCCTGCACTGACCTGGGCTGCCTGGGAAAGCTCTGCCAAATGCCCCAGTGATGTCGCTTGTCCATCTGGGTCTCTGCTCCCACTGGACATCAGATTCACCCGTGATGGTGTTTTACAGGACAGAACTGAATCAGAATCTCAAGGGAGCACAAGTCCTCCACCCTGGCTGCAGCCCCTGCTACTACCTGATCTAGGAAGGACTTGATCTCTGTCCCAGGTGACAGGAATTCACCAGTCCCGGGCCCCTGGCTGCATCCTGTGCCCTACTTAGCCCACAGCCTTGAATCCCCACACCCCTGTACTCTCCAATCCCACCTCCACTCTGTGTGGAGTTCTCAGGGGATCCCGCCCTCGCTCAGGGATCTCCTTCTGGGACTTATTTCCTGGGGGCTCAGGTGTTCCTGCTGCCAGGCAGCAGCTGATGAGGCCCCCTAATCCACCCTTGAGGAGCCTGGCTGGGGCTACAGGGGCAGGAGGGGCCCCACTCCTGTGGGTCCACTCGTGCCAGGCAGGTGGCCTGACGGTCTCCTTGAGCTGAGGCCCTTTTCCCTTCCATGCCTCCAGGGGCTGCAGAGTGGACCCTAGGAGGCGGAGCAGCGAGGTTTTGAATAGCCTTGGTCCAGCCTGAGTTTAGGCAAAGATGCAGACCTAATTCCCTGGCTTTGGGCAATCCCAGTGCTCTGTCACTGGGACTGGGGAAGAGAGGCAGCAGGCAGACGCTCCTGCCTCCTGAGAACTCCCCCGAGGCCTGCAGGGGCGTTACAGTGAAATGAGGAGCCCCATCCTCATTCACTTAGGTCCTCTTGCAGGGTGCTCTGGTGGCACTCAGGCCCTTCCTGGAGGCCACCACCCCAGCCCAAGCCAGGCCAGGACTATTTTGTTTGTGGGCATTGCATTTCTGTTGATAGCATGCCTACAGAGAAGCGGCAAATAGAGTGGTCCCTGGGGTGTTAATTGGTCACAGGACACAGACAAGTGCCGAAAAATGATGGGGGCCGAATTGTTTGGACTGGAGAGGGTAGCAAGTCATGAGCGTCAACACTGACAGGATGTAGCTTGCTCATCAAGTACCTAACAAACAAGTACTGGACGAACGTCTCAAATCAGAATGCGTTCAGTACCAAATCTGATGAGTTTCAAAGCAGTGGGGTCCCTCAGTAAGTGCAGAGTTACCACAGCTGAGCTGTCACCAGCTCCCCGTCAGCAAACCAAGCGTTTCCCGTACCCGGAAGTCCGTCCTCACCGAAGGGAAAAGGCAAAAGTAACCAGAAAAGGCAAAAGTAACCACGGCCATGGCTTTTTCTGCTTGTTTGTTTTGGGATTGAACCCAGGGTCTTTTTATTTTTTATTTTGAGATAGGCTCTCACTAAGTTCCCCAGGCTGGGCTTGAACATGGGCTCCTCTTGCCTCAGCTCCCAGAGTGCTGGGACTACAGGCGGGTACCACCACACCTGGCTCTACCCCAACTTCTATCCTATAGACTTTGTGTATTTTTTGGTTTTTAAAATGGGATTTCCCTGTATAGTCTAGTCTAGCCTTGAACTCTCGGCGATTCTCCTGCTTCAGCCTCCCGAGTGCTGGAATCACAGGCGTGTGTCACCCATGCCTGGCCTATACTATAGATTTTTAAAAATCATACCTTGAGATGTAGTTCAAATACCAAGGTGTTCATCTATTTACAGCGTAAGAGTTAAGGCTGAGGGTGTCGCTTGGTGGTAGAGCTCTTGCCTAGTGTACACAGCGATCTGGGTTCCATCTGCCCTATCACAAAAATTATTTTAAAACAAAGCACAAGAGCTCACGGTTTTTAGAATGTTCATCATAGACTGGTTCTGTTTATTTATTGCTTTATATAAAGTAATCCGAACAGTACGGACTCTTGCATTGGCTTCTTTTGCCCCAAAATTCACCTGTACTTTTGCATATTGTCACAGTGTGTGTAAGTATCACATCGGACCTGCCCATTCTACTACCAAAGCGCAGCTGGGTCTTTGCTGATGTAAGGTGGTCATAACCAGTGTTGCTATTTTTTTTGGCAAACATGTATGCTCACATTTTATTGGGTATAGTCCTAGGAGTGGAATTGCGGGGTCATAGTATGACACACATGTGTTAGGCTTACGTGATATAGCCAAATTGTTTTCCCACAGTAATGTACAGTATTTAACATCAGCATGACTCTGATAACCACACTGGCCCATGCCGGGGTCCTTTCTGTTGTATGCTGGGACTTGCATTAAAAATTATAGCTCAGTAATTACTGTTCCTGCTTTGGGGAGATCCTTCATGCAGGACCGGATACCACACTGTCACTGTGCTGTCTGCCGCCTGGCGGAGGCGAGGCTGGCCTTCTTCACCTTATTTGCCACATTGTCATCTGCTGGGGCCTCATTAGCCAGAAATGGCAGGCTCTCCCCCTGGGAGCTTTTGCCCGTGCAGCTGACGGAAAGCTCTGTGCACCTGTCTTTGCTCTAGGTGCTGCCTAACTCTTGATCTTTTCCAGGCTTCTCAACCGCGGGGGCAGCCGCCTCCAGAAAGCTTCTGCAGGCCTCTGTGTAATTCATTACAGAGGCCCTGGCCTCCCGGTTTCTACAGGCTTGGGCTGCCTCAGGCCCCCCACTCATTTCAGGCACTGCTGTGGAAAAGTTAGATCAGAGACCCCCAAACCACCCTCCTAGAGTCACGTAAGGGGAGCCTTTGTTACATCCGCCCCCAAGCAAGACTGTACCTGGTCCTTGTGCACCAGCCTTGCTGTTGCCCTCTGCTTAGGTAGCAGCCACTGACCCAGCCCACTCCAGGCCCCTGGAGGAGAAGCTGTGCCCAAGAGACTCCCTGCCCAACACCCATCTCCCTTGCACTCCCAAGTCCCCTCCACATTGCTGTCCCCCAGCCCAGTGCTTTGGCTTCCCTACTCCCTGTTGTTCTTGGATATCTCCGGGGGAGAGAAAATGCCCTGCTGTTGAAATGCTGGCTGATGGGGACGTGAAGGATTAATTATTATTCACGCTGCCTTGGCACTGGGGGAGGGATGCGTGCATCCTATAGACAGCGACCGACCTGCGTAGCTCACACCTAGAGAGGCCGATTCACTGCAAGCATCTGGGTTTAAGGAAAGCTCAGCAAGTGATTAGCCAAGAGAGAAAGAAGACCTGGCAGGTTTTGAACCCCCTCAGCTTTTGCATGCTTGTGACTTTGGTGGCAGCTGCCAGGGCTGGAAGAACAAAACAGTTGAAAGCCTGGCTTTGCAAAGGAGAACATCTGTGTCTGCATTGTACTTGGTCTGAAGGGATCTCTCCCAAGCACTTCAGCAAATGCCTCGTATGCCTCTGCCTCTTTCTGATGCCGTGGCAGGCTCTGCCTGGCTCCCCTGCTCACAGCCTGAGTCACTTGGTCATTTGCTTGTCCCCGTGTCCCAATCACCACCACCCCCTGTACCCTCAGTCTGCAGGCTCTGCCCTGCAATGCCGGAAGCTGTGTTTCCAGAAGGTGCCAGGATCCCACTACTCACTAACAATATAGACACCAGTCTAGGCAAAAGTTCTCCATGCGGGGAGACAGGGTGAGGGCTGAGGAAGGGATCTCCTGACTCGGCTGAGATGGTAAAGGTCTGAGACCTCAGTTGGGCTGTGGAACCTTAGGTTAGTATTCTGCTTAACTTACACTGACCCATGCATTCTTTTGTATGTCTTTGCTGCTGCACCCCAAAGAGTGTTCAGATGGGATCTTGACCACCATCAGCCAGATTCTCAAGAGCAGATGAAAATATTAGAATCACAGAGAGCAGGCGCCTACAACTGGAAAAAGCTTCCCAGCTGCCTTTCCTGGCTCCTCTCCTCCAAACATATTTGAAGAACCTCATTCTAGGCTCTAGGTTGAAATTCCAAAGATTTTCAACCCTTAGAAGCAAATTATATTAGAACTAACTACTTGGGAAATTTTTAACAAATGCCAGTACCAGATCCCATGTCAGACCAATTAAAGCAGGGTCTCTAGGCCTGTCTCCTCCTCCATCAGTATTTTTAAAAGCATCCCCGGCGATTCTGATCACTAGAAGAAGGGTTGTTCCGGAGTTTTCTCGGCTGTTTGGAAAGTCCTGGAGCCCTGTCTGCAGCCTGGTACCTATTCAATGCTCACCTTATGGATCAAGGCCGCCAGCTGAATCCTCTTAGAAAGTACAGACCTTCCTTGCCTGGCCTGGCCGGTCTTATTTGGTTCTCTTTCCATTCACATC